CTGGTCACCTAGCTCTTCTGGGACCCTGGTCACCTGGCTCTACTGAGATACTGGTCGTCTAGCTCTCCTGGGACCCTGGTCACTTACCTCTTCTGGGACCCTGGACACCTAGCTCTCCTGGGACACCGGTCACCTAGCTCTCCTGAGACACAGGTTACCTAGCTCTCCGGGGACACTGGTCACCTAGCTCTCCTGGGACACTGGTCACCTAGCTCTCCTGGGACCCTGGTCACCTAGCTCTCCTGGGACACTGGTCACCTAGCTCTCCTGGGACACTGGTCACTGAGTTCTCCTGGGGCGTCTTGGGACACTAGTCACTGAGCTTCTGAGGCACTGGTCACCAAGTCCTCCAGGGACTCTGATCCCTGAGTTCTCCCGTGGAACCTGGGTGAGGAGGCAGAGAGTTTCCCCATGTATATTCAGCTGACGGCTGCACTGTGGAGGCCAGGCAGCCATGCGTAAGGAAGTCAGAGGTGTGAACTCCACAGTTGGAGTGTTTCTCAGTGGCTGGTGGAAGGGTGGGAAGTACCATTCACAAAGTCACAGACTTCTGGTTATTTCAGCACCTTGCATGAAAATCACATTGTGACCAGCCAGAGGTACCTGCTCAAGTGGAGTGTCCCTCTGGGACAGGTGACCGTGATTGAGTACGGCAGCAATCCCAGCACAGGCGAGCATAGCCGATACCCAGCTGGGCACCCTCCTGAAAGCCTGGCTGTGGTGGCGAACGCGAAGCCACGTAAGTGACCCTGTGTTAATGCTCTCACAGACCTGGCCTACTGAATCTGTTGGCACAGTTGGCGACTGACGTGCCCAAACCCACTCTCATCTTTGAACTTGTCACCTGTTGTGGGACCTTTTTCCCACCTGGAATTTAAGTGCTGCTCTTCTGACTGACCAGGCGAGGACTCAGGTGGTGTCTGTGGACAGTGCTGAACTGCACCACGTGCACAGATGGGCATTCTGCTATGAGTGATTGACACTGCAGCCAGCAGCCATGGCTGCTGTTATTGTACAGGCTGCATTTTGATCTGAGAGTGGAAAGCATTGCCTCTTCTCCTTCAAAAAGTATAAATAAAAGTCTAGTTAAGTTGGTTAGTTTTTATTTTAGTTTTTGTTTGAGACAAAATTTTACTGTGTAGCCTAGCTGGAAATACAAGCATGTACCACCATCTTCAGCAAAGCTTGTTAAGTCTTGTTTACTTCTTGCCTTCTGCTTCTGATTAACACAATACAGGACAGCAAGAGGGACAGCAAGAGGTATGGCTTAAGTGGTAGAGCTGGCCTAGTTAGCCCTGGTGCAATCCCCATCACCGCCACAAAACAAAAAATAAAAAAAACAAACATAAATTTGATTTTCAGCAAACCTCCTGATTGATTGATTATTGATTTGCCAGTCCTGGGGCTTGGACTCAAGGGCCTGGGCTTCTTTTGTTCAAGGCTAGCACTCTACCACTTGGACCACAGCGCCACTTCCAGCTTTTTCTGTTTATGTGGTACTGAGGAATTGAACCCGGGCTTCATGCATGCTAGGCGAGCACCCTACCACTAAGCCACATTCCCACCCCTACCTCCTGATTCATTAAATGAGCTTTATCAGAGTAATCTGTCCATAGCAAGAAAGCCAAAGTTAAGACTTTAGCCTTTCTGTTTGGATATGCGCATCCACTGAACTTAAAAGCATGATGTAATGAGTATTAGGTCTAACTTGGTATGAATTTCTTTTACTTTTCTTACCCCTAACATTAATTGATTTTATAGTCATTCATGCCTAGTAAGCTAATTCTTTGGGCATAAGATTTCAGTTTCTTTGTGTGTGGAAGTTTGAGGCAGTCTCCATATGTGTGTGGGAGTTTGAGGCAGTCTCCATATGCAGCCTGCTTGCAGCTTACTGTTTCAGTAACCCAATAACCCTGTACTGTTGCCTGAGTCCTGGGGTTACAGACATGTGCCACTGGACCTGGCAGTGTTATGAATCTGGGATTTCTGACTAATTTTTACTTTAATGTGTTCCTTATCCTACCCTCCCAACTAATAACCAGGATACTAAACTATAGTCCAGGTTTTTAAAATGACATACAGGCAAACAGGGAGAAGGAGGGAAGAACAGAGAAAGGTGTGTGTGGGGGGGGGGGCATGACAGCTTTTCAACTAGTCATAGTGCATTCAGACTTTATCTAAAGGCAAACTGAAGATCTTATTAAAATTTTGCCCATTTTGTGAACAGACACTATATAGTTTTTGTAGTGGATAATCTTAAAATATGCTTGAATCAAGGATTGCCTAATAGAGTTCAAATAATTAAGAATGACTTTGATGCATAGGATGGAGTCCAAGTATTGCGTATACCTTACATTTCCTTATTCATACTAGAATGAGGTTAGACTAAGCTAATAGTCATCAAAAGTATACACAGACCATTCCATTTTTCTGAACCCAAGGAGTACAAACGAGCAAATTAACTTATTTTTATTTTTTATATTTTATTAGCATATATTAACTGTCAAGGGAGTATTTCATTGTGCTTTTCCCATGCATGTACAATCTTATTCCAATAAACTTCATCCCTCACTCTCATCCCTCTTAAGACAATTTCAGCATGTTTCTTTGGTCTGCTTTTATGCCTGGGAATAAACTACTTCAGCCATACTCACCTTCATTTCTCTACATTTCTCTCCTCCCCACCCCCTTCCTCCTTTTTTTTTTGTGCTCTGTTCCTGGGGCTTGAACTCAGGGCCTGGACACTGTCCTTGACTAAACTCTTTTGCTCAAAGTTAGCATTCTTACCACTTGAACTACAGTTCTACTTCTGGATTTGTGCTGGTTTACTGGAGATTAGAGTCTCACACACTTTTCTGCCTGGGCTGGCTTCAGATTTCAACCTCCTGAGTATTTAGGATTACAGGTGTGAGCCACTGGCACCTGGATACATTAATGTTTTTAAAAGTACTGAATCTACCCAAGATGGAGATCTTCATTTGTCTGCTCAACAGGGATCATGCAAAGGGGTAGGAGTAGTGGAGATGTGGTTCTATTAACCTTGATTGCCTTTGAAACAACTTTTATGATGAAGAGTTTCAGTGACTGTTTCAGGCTAGTATTTTTTTCAGAGAAAAAAATATAAAACAGCCATAAACAGAGTCTTAATATTCCCTGACAAAATTGCCTTCTCTTGTTCTTTTGAAGGAAGTTGCTCAATAAGGTGATGAGAGGAAGGGAAAGGATGGAGGGAAATGCAAGACAAAGTAGAACTGGGTTAGACATGATGAAGGTGTGATGTTACATGTATAAAAAGGTGTTTTAGACCCCAGGCCAACACATGTTAGGTCTAGCCATTCTTTCCTGTAAAACTGTTTTGCACTTGAGACCTGGGTGCTCCTGTGAGCTTTCCACCAGAAGCAGTGGCAGAGGCACCCTGAACATGGTACAGTTTTCACCATCTGCTGGAGGACGTATGCTACCTGGAGATGCGGCACTTTGAAAGTGCCAGTCAGACAAACGGGTGCACAGGACAGTAAGGCCATTGGAAGGCCGAGTCTGGGGCTCAAGATGAGGTCCTGGGGTCCCTGAGCACTCACACTGCAGGCAAAGCACAGGGTCCATATTCCCCAGTCTCTTGGCTCATGTGGACCATGGGGACCTTGATTCTCTGCCTGTAAGCCGGGGTTCAGCTGCAGAATGAGGAATGTGGAGTACGTGGTCTTTAAAACACTATGTAGATTTAATATGTTTTTGTAAACAAATGCATTTTTCTGGGAATGGTTTAGTTAAAATGTGCTAATTCCTGGAAGCCTAAGTGTTCTGGGGGCTTCCTCCAGCCTTTGAGAACAGGCAGTGCTTGCCACTGGTATTTAAAATAGGTGCAAGTGATGGGCCCGCTTAAAAGGTGAGGACATTAATGTGTGTGCTGCATGTACAGTCCTTGCTTGTCCACATGCAGTGGGTGGAAGGCTAGAAAATGAGCTGGTATCTGATCTCCATACTGACGGGGTCGACACCAGGCAGGCAGCTCCCTCTGTGCTGCGCTGAGACCAGGCCCCACCCACAGCTCACATGCCTTCAGCCCTGCCTGTGCTCCCCTAGACTGCACAGCCAGATCCGGCTCCTCCTCCTCCTCCTCCTCCTCCTCCGTATTCTGGTTCTCTTTCCCTTGCACTTGTGCTAGAATCATTTTAAGAAGCTAGCTAGAAGTTTCTGTTCTTACTGTGTGTTCATGTGACTTTTCTGCTGTGTGAATGACTGTAACATTTGGTTTTGGAAACTCTGGTCTGCTGCTTGGTGTTGCAGGCAGGCTGTGGGCGTTGCTGCCTAGCAACCCAGTAAGTGCCACTGGGCGAGGCTGGGCTCAGCGGGGGTGGGGCCTGCAAGGTTCCTTGTTCCAGAAGCAGGGTTTGGGGTCTGGTGGGCTGTGCCAGTCAGCCTTGCTGAGTTACAGCTTGAACTTTGCTCCTTTCCCAGGGCTGGGAATGGGTAGCTGTGACCCTCCAGTGGACCCATGCATTGGCTTAAGCTTCCAGAGCCCCTAAAGTTACTTTGAAAAATAACTTTTTTTTGTACATTTACCTGACTTTTTTTTTTTTTTTTGGGCAGTTCTGGGTCTTGAACTCAGGGCCTGGGCACTGTTCCTGGGCTTCTTTTGCTCAAGGTTAGCACTCTACCACTTGAGCCACAGCTCCCCTTCTGACTTTTTCTGTTTATGTGGTACTAAGGAATGGAACCCAGGGCTTCATGAATGATAGGCAAGCGCTCTACCACTGAGCCACCTTCCCAGCCCTTACCTGACTTTTATTTGTACACTTACCTGACTGTGAACCATCTCGGTCCTGGTCTGGTATGTGGCTCTGTCACTTGTGTCTGTACTCCGTCTTGGGGTAATATTTTATTCCTGCAGTCTTCCTGCAGATCCTCAAGGCCTTGATTTTCAGTAAATAAACAGCACAGCACACCTGTCCTGTAAAGTGTGAGAAAGACTGAGACATGTCCCAACCCCACTCTCCAAAGCCCTTCATGAAGCAAGAGGAGGGAAAAGGACTCACCGGACAGGCCGGTGCCTCAGGGACTCAGGAGAATCTCATCACCAATGTCATAAACACTTACTAGAAGTGTTTATAGTATCTTTATTTACCACTAAAGATACCGGTAAAATGTAGGAAACCTGAATACAAAGTATTTTAAAGGCACTCACTTGTCTGTGCAGATATTGAACATTTAGTTTTGTAGCAGTTCTATTATGTGGTAATTAGTTACATAATCCTTAAAAATAAGAGAGAAAAGAAAAGGCATAGCTGTGCTCTGTCAGGCAAGACAATGGTTTAGAGAACAAGATACAGGATCCACATCCAGGCTGGAGCTGGGGATCTCAAAGCAATAGTAGAGACAGTAATTCAGAGAGTGATAGGTGTGGGTAACTTGTACCTTAACATGGTTTTTTTTGGGGGGGGGGCTTGGGGGACTTTTCCCCCCCAAATTGGTATCTGAAGCAAATACAACAACATATTAACGTCTGTCCATGTGTTATTTTTTCCTAGTTTTGGGGATTTAAATAATAATTCAAAGCCAGGAGCTGGTGACCCTTGCCTTTAACCCTATCTATTCAGGATGCTGAGATCTAAGGATTTTACTTCAAAGCCAGCCCTGGCAGAAAGTCAATGCAACTCCTCATCTCCAGTTAACCACCCCCCACCACCAAAGGGAAAAAAACAACAACAAAAAAAAACAGAAGTGGAAGTGGAAGAGTTGTGGCTTAAGATGGTAGCTTTAAGCACAAAAGCTCAGGGACAGCACATACCCCTTCTCCCCTCCCCCCCAAAATCCTGTTTTAACAAACACTGCAAAGGAAGAAGCTAGATCCAGGGAAGTCATGAGATGGGTTAGCATTGTGGGGACTGCTCTCTGAGCCTCAGGCTGGGTCCTGTTAGGACAGTGGTTCAAACCACTGGCAAGGAAAGAGTGTGGAATGGCCTTCAGGAGATGGGGATCTCCTCTGTCGTTACAAGCTCCTGGGGGACAGCCCTGTGCGCATTTTCTTAGAGGTGGGATACAACAGGTTTGGGTCTGTCCACCTGCAAAGCACTGCCAGCCCTTTGTCATACTTGCATTTCAAGGATGAGAGCTGATGCCAGCTTCAGGACTTAGCAGCCCCTCACACCTTCTGTCCTCTTTAGCACTATGCTAGGAAGCAGGGAAGAAATAGAGGCACTGCGGTGCGTAATTTGGATTTTGCCAGAATCTAGAGCCTACCTGCACTGAGCTGTGCCATCTGCTTAGATGCAGTGATTCAACGATCCCTGTGTGGTATGTTCCCCAGGCCCTGGGCCTGGTCTCTGACAACCTGTCTCAGTCCTTGAAATTTCTCATCATCCAGTGACTTAAGACTGTGAGTTTTTCCCACAAGAGGTTTTTGTACTGAATGCCTGCAGGTTGCTTCAAACATTGTGTTGTGACAGTATTACTTTTAGGCAGAAGCATTAGGTCATTGTGGAGAGGCCTAGCTCCTTGATGGGAGGGTAGGATATCAGGATCTGCCACTCATAGTTTGCTTTTTAAGTACTTGGAATGTGACTGAAGCTTTTTTTCGTGACGTTGAGTTTGGACTCACGGCATCTCTTCCCTTTGCTCCTGCACCTTGCAGCTCTTCTTGACCCCTGCACTCTGTATCATTCCAGCATCTCTTCCTCTTTATACCTGTGCCCCTTCATCATCTTCCTCTTTACCTATACCCCAAATTTCTCCTTTACCCTCTCCCAGGAGTTAAGTGCTCCTTCATTCCTGCTTGAAATTATCCTCCTTTTTTGTGCTGGTCCTGGGGCTTGAACTCAGGGCCCAGGCACCATCTCTCAGCTTTTTTTTCCTCAAGGCTAGTTCCAATTCCAACTTTTTTTGGTAGTTAATTGGAGATAAGAGTCTCATGGATTTTCCTGCTCAGTCTGGCTTCAAACTGTGATCCTTAGATCTCAGCCTCCAGAGTAACTAGAATTATAGATGTGAGCCACCGATGCCTGGCTCCTTTGTGCGCTCTCCTCTTCCCTTCCCCCTCTCCCTCCTTCTCCCCCCTCTCCTTCTCCCCTTTTTCCTCTCCCCCTCTCTGATAGATTGTTTCTATGTGGCCCAGGCTGGCCTTAGAATTGGCTCTGGGATTACAGGCAGATACCACCATTCCTAGCCTTGCTTCAGAGTCGTCGTTTTTACCCCCTTTTTATCCTGCAGATACCTCTGGTCCCAGAGTCCCCTGAGAGCAGAGAAGACCCTTTAAGGGTCCTTGAGGGTTGTGTTGCTTTGCCTCCCCAGGTCATGGGGCTCCTGGAAGGCGTGAGAACATGCTCCATCCTGAGTGCTGCAGGTGGTGTTTCTGTTGACTTGGCCCCACAACCCCTTCCCCATTGTCACATCCAACTCTATTCAGCTGACACCCTGGATTTCCCAGCCAGTTGCAAGGATTTCCATAGAAACGGGCAATGTCCGTGGGAAAAGGCAGAGAGAGAGAGATGTAGGGTCTTTGTGTGCCAGCCTTGCAACCAACAACCTGACTCATGGAATTTAAAGCACTTTAAATTGGCAACAGTGTGCCCGAAAATGGGCTCTGTCAAACTTTTTTTGTTTTGGGGGTAAAAGGGTTTGAGCTCAGCCTTATATTTGCCTAGTGTGTGATCTCTCCAGCCCTGGTTTTTGCTGTTTATTTTTGAGATAGGGTCTGGCTTCTTTGCCTTAGCATTCATTTGAGCACCATCTGCCCATATTGGGCTTGCCATCACAGCTAGGGTAACAGGCACGAGCCACTAGGCCTAGTTCTGGGTTGATAGTGGGTCTCAAACGTTTCTGCCTGCACCCTGCATCCTTCTTTTATATCATTCCCCCACCCTCCTCCATTTGCTGGCCTTGGACCACAGTTTTCCTAATTTCAGCCTTTCAAGTAACTAGGAATATACACATGAGCCTCTTAAGTAGCTAGGAATATGGCACCTAGCTCTTAACAAATACTTTGATTGCAAGTTTTTGAATCATCAGTAAGTTTTTTTTTTGGGGGGGGGGAGAAACAACTGGAATTTATTTTAGTGTTTCCCTAGTATTGAAGTAAATGGCTTTTGGTCTTTATTCTTTTATTTTTCTTTATTTTTAGACAAAGTTTACATGGGGCCAGGACAGCTATATCAAGATCTGCAAGATCTGCTGCATGATCTCAATGTTGTTGGTCAGATTGCTCAGCTGATAGGAAACCTTAAGGGAAACTATCAGGTAATGTCCCAAGCACTTTGATTTAAAGTTGCCTTTCCTCCTACCTGTGAGAGCCTGTGATTAAATCTCTAAGCTTTATGAGAGGTCAGAATTTGGATGCCTTTAAAAATTGCTCTGATGGTGCCTTCTCTTGCTTTGGTTAAGATGACACCATTTCATCGTAGCTTTTCTTCATTTTCTAAATTCTCTTGAGTGCCATTCTTGACTGAGAATGTCTTGCCTATATGCTGGGCACTGGTGGCTCACTCCTGCAATTCTAGCTACTCAGGAGCCGAGATCTTAAGATCACTGTTTGAAGCTAGCCTAGACAGGAAAGTCTGTGAGACCCTTATCTCCAATTAACCTGTAAAACCTGTAAGTGAAGCCGTGCACAAATGGCTCATGCCTGTCATCCTAGCTACTCAGGAGGCTGAGATCTGAGGATCATGGTTCAAAGCCAGCCCGGGCAGGAAAGTACGTGAGACTCTTATCTCCAATAAACCACCAGAAAACCGGAAGTGGCTCTGTGGCTCAAGCGGTAGAGCACTCCCCTTGAGTTGAAGAGCTGAGGAACAGCGTCCAGGCCCACAGTTCAAGCCCCACGACTGACCAAAAAAACAAAAACCTGTAAGTGACTGGGTGCCAGTGGCTTACACCCTTAATCCTAGCTATTCAGGAGGCTGAGATCTGAAGGTTGTGGTTCAGAGCCAGCCCAGACAAGAAAATCTGGGAGACGCTTATCCAATTAGCCACCAAAAAGCTGGAAGTAAAGCTATGGCTCAAGTGGTAGCCAAGTGAGAGCATGATTTTTATCATGAGATAGGAGTATTTTGGGATCTTCCTGAATTTTTCATGTTACAGTTTTGCTATTACTCCTCCTTAATGTTTTTGTAAGTGCTTAAATATGAATATGCATTTCTTTTGTAGAACTTAAATCAGTCAGTAGCCCATGACTGGACATCAGGTTTACAGAGACTGATTTTGAAGAAGGAAGAAGAAATTAGAGCCGCTGATCGCTGTAGAATTCAGTTACAGCTCCCAGGGAAGCAGGACAAGTCAGTAACTTAGTGTTGTCATGATGTGTTTTCTTTTTTGGTGATTATGTTGGATTGTGTTGGCTTCTGGTGTGACTGAAGAGCACGGGCTTGGGTCTTGAGGTCGTGGTCCTGGCAAGGAGCTCAAGACCCTGGTAGGGTTGGTCTCCAGGGGACCAGGTCACTGTGCATCTCCGCCTGTGTGCCCACCCTCCCCTGACACACACACAGCAGGGCCGGGCTGCCTTGCCAGGACTCTAAAGTGAGTCCTGTGGTCCTGCTGTGGGGAGAGGTGACTGTGACAGGGATAGTTTGTACAATTAACTCTTGTCTGTTTCTGACAGGTCTGGGCGACCAACATTTTTTACAGCTGTGTTCAATACATTCACCCCTGCAATCAAGGAGTCCTGGATCAACAACTTGCAGATGGCCAAGCTTGCCCTGGGTAAGATGTGGTCCGTTCAAGATACCTGAGGTGCCCTTGGGAAAACTCCAAACTGATACCTCCTTCACTCATTGGAATGTTTTAGTACCCTCAGGACAAGTTTGTGTTCTAGTCCAGGGGCTGTAAGGACAAATCTGTGACTGAAGAGCAAAGGCATGGGTCAAGGTCGTGGTTCTGTCAGGAACTCAAGGCCCTGGTAGGTTTGGTCTCCAGGGGACCAGGTCACTGTGCATCTCCGCCTGTGTGCCCACCCTCCCCTGACACACACACAGCAGGCCAGGGCTGCCTTTCCAGGACTCTAAAGTGAGTCCTGTGGTCCCACTGTGAAGAAAGGTGACTGTGATTTTATTTTTCCTCTGTCCTTTCAGGCTTTCTGTGTTGTTACTTATTTCACACACAGACTTACTACCCAGTGCACTGAGAGGTTTTGTATGTGTGTGTGTATGCACATGTGTGTGTGCATACACATGAAATCTTTCAAGTGTAAGCAATCTGAAATGTTATATGAGACTAAAACAGAAGAGGGATTAGCAATCAAACGTTGATTATCCCCTACTGAGCGAGTGATAATGAAAGGAATGGGACTTTTATCATTTAGTGGCAGCCTCCTGATTTGACTAGTTCTTTTTTTCCCTGAGTACATTCATGGTTTATGGAGTTAGGTTCAAAAGGACTCACTGAACACAGAAATGGTCTCCTGTCTTAACGAGAGCAAATATCACATGAAAATAAGGTTAAATTAAGTAATTTATCCTTAATCATACTTTCTCCATATCTAAGATGGATCATGGGTCATGCTGCTGTCTAAAGTGAAGTAGGAGTGTGCAGCTCACCCTTTCCGAAGGGACCCAACCCTCTCTTTCTTAAGTAATAGGGTGTCTTGGATATTCTCTTCTTTGGCCCCAGGCTGCAGCTTCTGGAAGTAGCTAATGTCGACCTTGCTCTCTAATGTCTTCACAGAGGAGGAGAACCACCTCGGCTGGTTCTGTGTGGATGATGACGGGAACCAGACTAAGAAGGAGACACACCCTCTACTTGTGGGACACATGCCTGTGATGGTTGCTAAGCAGCCAGAGTTCAAGGTGAGGGACCCAAGGTAGCACCCACTCTCTGCTCTTCTGGGGCCGAGGTCACAGTCTAGCTTTTCCAAGGACTCACAGCAATTATTTCTCAAGAGAAAACTGATTTAGATTCAGGATTGCTGTCGTCTGAAGCCAAGGGGAGGCTCCGACCCTCCCTGATGCCCACAGGAGGCTCAGACACTGCCTGCCACCCATGGAGGCTCCCTCAATCCCTGACACTCACAGGAGGCTCCGAATCTCTCTGACACCCAGTGGAGGCTCACTGTAGTTGGTATTGCTGTAGTTGGCTGTGTTGGCACCACAGGTTGGCCACACTTGAGGCAAGCTCAGCTCAGTCACTGCTCTCACACCAGGCTTACACATCTGTTTCCACAAGCAGGCCTTGAGGCCTGGGTCTGCCTGGCACAGCATTCCCACTGTGCCAAAGTGACTCCCCTCTCCAGGGTGTCCCCCAGGCACCCAGGCTAGGGCCTGTTGATGTCAGTGACCAGGGGAAGAAATAAGTCAGTGGTACTGTTTCTCACCCTGTCTCTGGCTGGGCTTCTCCGCAGGCCCCATGAGCACACCTTGAAGTCCCAGAGAGAGCCCCGTCTTGCCATCCTCACCTGTGTCAGCCCAGGGATCCCTGTGGGGCCTCCAATCCCATCCAGCTTAGTCACCAGGGTTCATTCAGCCCATGCCCTTCAATGGCTGAGGGGCCAGAAAATCAAAACACCAGAGACTGATCTATTAGGAGCTTACTGCTAAAACAGTATCTTTGAAGACTGGTGCAGTAGGTGCTTTGTATCATTGTTCCCTATCCATGTATTTCCCTCACCCAGCCAAAAATGGAAACATTGAGAAAAAAAGATTGTGTCTACTGAAAAGACAGATTTTTCTTGTCGTTGTTCTTTCATCAAATCGGTATAACCATTTATGTAGAGCTGATTTATAATGTTCTGGAGAATATGGACAGGTTCTGTGCAAATACTGTACCACTGTATATGAACAATGGGGGCACCAAGGGTTAGCACTCTGGAGGATCCTAGAATCAGTTCCCTGTGAATACAAAGGATGGTTGTGCTTTAATCTGTTATCCTTCCTATTTTTTAATATTATTATTTAATATTTGGGATGTATAGGAGCTTGAACTCAGCCCTGTGCTTGACAGACAAGCATTCTACTACGTAAGCCATGCCTCTGGCCCTCTCCCTTCTTATTTTAATCTGTTAGTTTGATAATTGAAATTTCTGTCTAGATGTTAGAAACATTCCTTTAGAGTGTTGTGTAGTGTTTGAGCCCAAGTTCTATTTTATATTTGAATATTTATTCTGTTTTAGATTGAATGTGCTGCTTACAATCCTGAGCCTTACCTAAGTAATGATAGTCAACCAGATTCGTTTTCTGTGGCACGTGGCTTCCTGTGGGTAAGACTCTTTGCTTGCTTTAGGGCAGGTTCACAAAGAATTAGTCCGCCCTGTGCTTTTCCTGACTGACACCTGAACAGGAAACCTTCCTGTGAAAGGGAGATAGATGAGCACCTTTAGAAAAAGTGTGGGAAATGTTTGTGTTCTTTCTCATTGAAAACGTTTACAGATTGAATTGATTCTAAAGATGACTAATATAACTAATATGAAGATTGTTGGAATAATGAAATCATAAAGACTTTCCCTCTTCTGGACATTGCTGGCTTTTTACATTGAAAACAGAAAGAGGTGCTGTTGCCAGGGGCTGGTGGCTCATGCCTGTAATCCTAGCTACTCAGGAGGCTGAACTCTGAGGATCAAGGTTCAAAACCAGCCAGGGCAGGAAAGTCCCGTGAGATTCTTATCTCCAATAAACCACCAGAAAACCAGAAGTGGCGCTGTGGCTCAAGTGGTAGAGCGCTAGCCTTGAGCTAAAGAGCTGAGGGACAGGACCCAAGCCCAGGGTTTAAGTACCATGACCGACCCCCAGAAAAAAAGAAAGGGGTTCTGTCAGCAGATTTAACATTTCAAAGTGTGTTGATTCGCACATGAAAATCAAATTGTGGGAGGCATGCCTTATTCATTGTGTTTCTCCCTTTTAACTGATTGATTCAGATTGGAAGTTGTAGCAGTCAGATGGGCCAGATTGCCATTGTGTCATTTCACAATTCCAACCCCAAAGTCATTGAATGCTTCAATGTGGAGTCACGCATCCTCTGCATGGTGTACATCCCCGTGGAGCAACCCCAGGAGCCTCGCGCAGTCCTGGACCCCGAGGCTACGGCCACCAGGGCTTCCGATGTGCCCACCATCTGCCTAGGCACAGAAGAAGGAAGGTATAGAACCTTTTTTGTGTGGCAAGGGTCCTCTGCCATGTCCTAGAAGCAGCAATCCATGTAGGAATATGAGATATAAGTGGGTTAGGGCCTTTATGCTCAGAATTATCACTTCATTGAGGCCATGGGAATTATTTCAGGAAGCCCCAAAAAGATATGATAGTTTTTTAAGAGAGTTTCTCAATATGCTGTTGCTCCCAAAATCATTCACTTTTTTTTAAACTGCTTGTTAAAAGTACATTGTTCTGCCAGATACCTGTGTCTCATGTTTGTAATCCTAGCTACTCAGGAATCTGAGTTCTAAGGATTGTGGTTTGAAGCCAGCCTCAGAAGGGAAGTCCCTGAGACTCTTATCTCCAATTAAGCACTAAAAATGTGAAAAGTGGAGCTGGGCTCAAAAAACTAGAACACTAGCCTTGAGCCTAAAAGCTCAGGGACAATACCCAGGTCCTGAGTTCAAGTCCTAGGCCCAGCCCACACACAAAAGAGTACATTATTTCTGAAAGTCCAGAAACAACCACTTCTGTGTGTTACCCATGTTAAATATTGACATTATTTAAAGGCAAGTTAAGGTGTTCCAGGATCTATAGGAAGAACTAATTTTTTCAAAATTTGTTTGAAATATAAGAATATTCTGGGTGTTGATGACTCACAGCTATAATCCTAGCCCTTGCCATTCAGGAAGGTGAGATCTGGAGAAGGGTTATGGTATGTGGCAAGACTGGAGGTGTGGCCCATGTGACAGTGCACCAGCTGAGAAGCACAGGCCTTCACTTCAAACCCAGTACTGCCAAAAAAAGAATAACAAGTCAGAATGGCTGCAGACATTTTTCTAAGTGTACGCAAGGGAAGAAGTAGAATAACATTTGAGTGCACTGAAGACACACTGGTCTGTTCAGTGAGCAGGGCAGGGGCATTAACTTATGTTTTTCTTTTAAAGCATTTCCATTTATAAAAGCAGTCAAGGCTCCAAGAAAGTGAGACTTCAGCACTTTTTCACTCCTGAGAAGTCCACCGTCATGAGCTTGGCCTGCTCACCACAGGGCCTATATGCTGGCCTGGTCAATGGGTCGGTGGTCAGCTACACCAAGGGAACAGGTAAATGGCTATTGCTGGGGCATGGGTGGAGGTATCAGTGTCTCCTCCTCTTAGCACTTGTCACCCAGGTTCTGGGCCGGTGCAACCTTCTCCTTCCACAGACTGTTGATGGGCACACAGGAAGTGACTTCCAAAGTCAGTCTCTAAGGGCTTTCCTCTACTCCACAGGGATTGGATTTTATGCAAACTTAGCTATGAATCCTTGGCTCTCAACCTCCTGGCCCTCCACATGCCCATACATGCTCTCAGACACTCTGCTGCATTCCTTGTGGTCTTTCCCTCTCTGTCCCACCCCCTTACTCAAGGCTGCTGGTTTCTCTGCCCTGGGTGGAGGAAGCCTGGTGACCATGAGGGGCAGCTTGCTTTTGGGTGGTGCTTGATGTGGAGCTGCATGCGCTAGCCTGCCTCTCCTGGGCATGGTTCTCCTGAACATCTTTGCTCCCTCCCCCATGTGTAGCAGCTCTTCGCTCTCTCCAGTCCTCTCTTCACACTGCTGTGTATATCTAACTGGCCATCCTGGTGGCTTTCCTGATGCCAAACTGCCTGGGCTACAGACCACACAGCCTGTAGGCTGCTGTGACATCTCCCTAGATTGTACTTCCAGCCGTGGCTCTCTGCCTCCCACCTGGTTGTCCCAGCACAGATATGGAGGCACAGGCTGCTTGCTGTCGCTTGTTCATTGTAACAGACATGGAGAAGAGCTTCATTGGTGGTGGTTGGACATTGCTGTTCTCAGTTCTTTTCTTGTGAATTTCAACATCCCTGCTTTGTGGGATGTTTGTTTCCAGGGTCCATCCTTCCTACGTCATGGCTGGTGGCTAAGTCTCCCCTCCTAGCTCCTCTTATCCACAGGTAGAGCTCAGGTGTGCTGTCCTGGAGCCTAGAACCTGGCTCCTCCTGCAGATGCTCTCATAGTGACATGCTGCAGCTTGTCTCCTGTGCACCTGATCCCAGCTCACAGTGCTCCCCACAGGATTGCCTCAGGCCGGGCCTCACACATCTCTACTGCCCTGGGTAGCCTAAGGCATCTTTGTGTCCTGCCCTTCCTGTTGCCCTTCCCTGTCAGAGAGTACAGGCAGCTGGACCTCCATTCCCCTCTTCCAGGTCCCTAAGCTTTCCACCAGTGCTTCATTGTCCTCCAGCTCCAACTTCTTCTTCTTTTTTTTTTTTCGGTCCAGTCGTGGGCCTGAACTCTGGGCCTGGGCACTGTCCCTCAGCTCTTCACCTCAAGGCTAGCACTCTACCACTTGAGCCACAGTGCCACTTCTGGCTTTTTTTCCCCTGCTTATGTGGTGCTGAGGAATTGAACCCAGGGCCTCATGCATGCAAGGCAAGCGCTCTACCACTGAGCCACCTTCCCAGCCCTGCTCCAACTTCTGTAATACCCCACATTTATTTCCTCTTTGCATTCCCACCGGTTCCTTTTCTAGTGTACATCTTCCCCCTGAGCCACCAGAGTGGCTTAAAGTAAGCCACTCATTGCTTAAAGTAAAAAAAAAATACTGTCTCCCCAGAACCCTGTGCCCAGTTCACAGGAGTGCACCTCCCAGGAAGTCTTTGCTAGCTTATCCTTTAGACTACAGGGGCCTCTCATCCTGGACCTCTTAACCTTTGAGGGCCTTCTGGACCCCTCACAATGGTGGCCTTCTCCTCCTCCTGGTTGTATTTTCCAGACCCTAGAAGGGGCCGGGGCTTGCTCCCACCCTGCCCCATGTGCAGCCTGTGGGAGAGTTCATGGGTGTCCAGGCTGCCTGCCAGGCTGCCTGCATTCACACTTCCCTCTGGTCCCTGGCACTGGTGGGGACCCATGGCTTCCTCTCCTTGCCCATCACAGGTACCATAGGTGCCCTGGGCCTTGCCTAGGCTTCTTTATCTATTTCATTCCCCTTCCAACTTGGCAGTAGCTGGTCTGCGTGAATGTGCACACACAGCTCGCCAAGCAGGAGTGCCCTTCTCCTCATTCAGTGTGACTTCTGTGCATGACTCCTCCCCAGGCCTAAGCTCCACTGTGTGTGGCTGGAGAGTTTCAGCACTTTCCTGGTCAGATTATATTTTAGCCAGGTATTTTCTGAACATCCAGGGAAGGATGGCACTCCCATTTCAAGCTTTGGGGTTGTTTTTTCTTAATTTTTCATTGCTATTATAAAGGTAAAGTACAGAGTGGTTACAATTACATCAAGCTTTTTTTTTTAATCCAACATAAACAGTGCATGAGGCAAAGGGCTGGACCTCCGCTCTCCAAGCTCTTGGCTGGGGCCAGCAGATAGAGCTTCCTGACAGGTTCTTCCTTGTACCCTGTGCAGTGCGGGCATCTCTGGGTCTCCGTGCAGGATGGCAGGTGACCGTAGCCCAGTCCATGTTAGTATTTCTGTCAGCTCCTTTCAGGTGACCCTAATCAGGGGGGGCCAGACCTTGAGCAGACTGTTCATGAAAGCAGGCATCAAGATGCTCAGAAAGGCAGCTCCGAGACCTGGTCATGGCCTAGAAGGTCAAAGAATTCAGTAGTGGGTTGACCTCAGGGCTTCATGCTTGCTGGTTTGCCACTCTACCACCACACCTTTTTATGTGAGTTATTTTTCAAGCAGGGTCTCATACTTTTACCCAGTATACCCTGGTCCAGGAGGCTCCTATTTAGGTCTCGTGAAGCTGGGAATATGGGCATGTACCACCATACTTAACTGCTTTTTTTTTTTTTTTTTGAGATATGACCTTGCAACTTTTTTCCCAATGAGTCTCAAGCTGCCATCCTTTCAAGCCTTTGCCTTTTGAGTGACTGGGATTTCAGGCATGTGCCACTGAGCCTGGACCTCCAAAGACAATGTTTTAAAGGTTTTTATATACAGGTGCATGTGTGTATGTGGGTGTTTCTGTGTATGTACGACACAGGCTAAAGCCCATGGCCTTGATGCATGCTGGGCAAGTGCTCTATTCCTGAGCTACACCCCAGACCTCTCAGGTCAGAGACTTAATAGATGGCTACACTGCATCCAGAGTCTGAACTTCTATTGTCTGACAAAGGCAGCAGAGGGTCAGGACAAAAGACACAGGGGTTCTGAGTAGAGGCAGAGGCTTCTGTCCAAGAGCGAGCGCAGGCAGGACTGGGCATGGCAGGGGTTTCATCCCCAGCACACAGGAATACAGTTTGAAAACTGAGATGATGATGATTCCAGTACTATCCAGCAAGTCTACAAGGCGGATTTGCACACAGGTGTCTGTTTCTGCCATTGCTATGTATGGATTTACATGGGCTTTTAAATTCTCTTTGGTGTAGTTTGCCTGAGTTTGATAATAGTCTCATTTACCAAAGTTTACAAGGTATAATTTGAACATATTTCTGCTTTAAAAAGAAACTCCCATTTAGTCACTGATAGTTATTTCTTATTTCTTGTGTTTTTAATTATTTCTACTTTTATTTCCTTGATTAAACTTCCTAGAGGAAGATATATGTATAGGATTTTCATGTAATCTGGATTTTTTTCTATTTTTCTATCTTCACATCAATTTATGCTCTCCCATCTATGATACCCTTTCTTTAGGGAGTGGCCTCTTCTTAAATTTTGAGAGAGTATCTCACTGTGTAGACAGGCTAGCCTTGAACTCAAAATACTTGAAACTCTGCCTTCCAACTGCTGGGTTGGCCACCAAGCCTGGTTTCTTCTTGGGCATTCCAGGTAGTTATTTTTCGATTTCTTGCTTAGCCAGCTCTTGCTCTATCCAGCATCAGACCCAAGTTTTCATTCCATGATGTGCCCTTAGGACCGTGCAACTGTCAAAGAAAACATCCACATCTTGAGCCTGTGCATTCCCATCGTGGTGGAGACTCCAGGAATGCAAAGGGCTGTGAGGGCCAGCTGTGGGAAAGCTATGGATGTGTCCACACACGTGTGACTGAGGACGTGTGTATATGTACATGAGCATGTCCCTGTGCACATGTGTAGGTATGCATGTGGGTGTGTGTTTGTGCATTTCTGTGTATATTTCTGCATGTGTGCACATATTTGATCCCATAATGGTAAACCTGGTGCAGATACTACATGACCGGCCCATCAGTGTCCAGTGTGGCTGCAACATAGTTTAGCCTGATTGCAATACAAAATCCCCACTAAAACTGAATTATACTGCACAGCATGATTGGGTTTGTTCACCTTTCCCACATCCTTTTCTACATCCTTCCCCCCCCCCCCCCGAAGGAAAAAAATGAAGCATGCCACAGTAGTCAAAGCTTATAGAGTCCCTTTTGGTGACTACAGATTTCTAGTTTGTTTGTTCATAAATGGCTTTGCGATTCAAAAAATCCAATGCTTCCCCGCCCCCTCCCTGCTTTGAGCATAGTAGAGTATTCCACTAAGTCCGTGGCTTTGGTGTTCTGGTGGTCATGTTATCTTCTTAAGCATGGTGGCTGAAATAACAGTTGGTTGACAATTCAAGGATTAATTTAACTAGTTTTAGGATAATTATACTAGTCACTTTAAAATGTGTATTAAATCTTTAATTTTTATGGTATCAAAGCTATTGACTCATAATTCATATAAAGTGATAGACATTATCATTGTATTATCATGTTCCTTGACAGTATATTTAGACTGAAATATTCTATTTCTTCCTGGACTTCAAGAGAGAGGCAACAGGCATCAGAAGAGGAAAGAAGTTGCCTTTTCTCCTGTCTTGACTGTCACATTCAGTGAAGATTTATTCCCCCAGGGAGTTGGCCCTCCCTGCTCCCACTGTTGTGTTATTGCCATACTAGACCAATATGTTGAAATAGTATACATTCTTGGACCCTGCATATATCCACCATAGGCTTAAGCACCAGAATAGCAGTTGATATTTTGGTTGTCTGTTATTTAAAGTGATCTATGATCCTGTTTTCCTGTGTTCTCTGTTTCTCTGGTTAAATGAAATTAAAAGAAATATTCTCTTTTAAGATGGATCTTGGAATGCAGAACCTCAGAAAGTGATAAAACTTGGTGTCCTGCCAGTTAGAAGTCTCCTCCTGATGGAAGACACGCTGTGGGCAGCATCTGGAGGCCAAGTCTTCATGATCAGCTTGGAGACCCATGACGTTGAGGTCAGTTGCATCAGGTGGCTGCTTGGACTAGAGAGGATGCCTTTCAGAAGCAGCCATAGCCTGTGCTCCTCACCTGGAAAAGGAAGTGCCACTTTCCTGGGGTCATGAGCCAAAGAGAACTCCTAGGTTTACTAGAAAAATTCAGTGCAGGGTGGTCTAGCTACTTATTTCTGGGAATCATCGCTCACTATTTGCCTAATGAGGTAATGGAGACACTGCCTTAAGCATGTATTCATTGTGCACATAGAATCCTCAAGAACATAAGGAAAATTAACGCTTGACTGAAGTGTCACTTCACATCATCCAGTGAGGACTCTGGAGAGGACTGGCTAGCCATTGGAAGTCCAGTGCCCCTCTACCCTGTGCACACTGCAGTGTGGTGCCCTGAGGACATGTGGCCAGGGACCGTGTAATGGGGAGGATCAGCTTCCTCACTGGTGCCAGCCCTCATATCCTGTCCTCCTCCTCCTGCCACACTGTCCTGTTCTGTCTCCTGTGGACACTAGCTGTGAGGAAAGTGACTGCTGTGATCTTTACAGTTTTAGAGGGGTGGCCTTGATCCTGCTTTGGTCCCGGAGCTGGGCTTCAGCTGGACACCATGGTCCTCAGCACAGTCTCTTTGTGTGACTTAGCAGGCTTTGCACACAGTGCCATGGGCTCCAGTTTTGCCTTGATGTTCCCATGACCCTCTCTTCACCCCAGAACCAGCTGGAGGCCCACCACGAGGAAGGGATGGTCATCTCCCACATGGCAGTGGCTGGTGTTGGGATCTGGATTGCCTTTACCTCGGGCTCCACCCTCCGCCTCTTCCACACAGAAACGCTGAAGCACCTGCAGGACATCAACATCGCTGCCCCTGTGCACAGCCTGCTACCAGGTATGGGCGGGGAGCACAGCCTGCTGCCGGGTGCAGAACAAGGGCCTTCAGCAGAGATGGCCTTGGCACAGGGCCTGGAGTGGCTCTGGAGGACAGCCAGAGCAGAGTCTGATCATGATGGTGTTTCAGCCTCAGTCCAGTGGGGTCCTGGGGAGCAAGGCCTGAGGTAGAAGGGTTCAGACAAGGAAGAGGCCTTGGGGTGGGCTTCCTTCCTGAAGGAAGGAAAGAGTTCTTCAGGGGCAGCAGGGCTGCAGAGGATAGAAATGGAGGTGGGGGAAGGAAGGAGGTGCAGAGAATAAAAATGGAAGTTGGGGAGGGGAGGGCTGTAGAGGATAGAAGTGGGGGAGGGGAGGGGTGTAGAGATTAAAAGTGGGGTAGAAGAGGGCTGCAGAGGATAGAAGTGGAGGTGGGGGAAGGGAAAGAGGGACAGTCCTATTGTTCAGCCTGGTCTCACCTTGTGGGGGCTGAGTTCACAGGTGTGAGCGGCCCCCATTCTGGGCCTGCAGGTTGGGGAAAGTGGTGTTGTGGGGGGCGTTTCCAGACAGTGGGCGCCCTTTCCTGCCACCCGCACCCCCTTCCCTCTGCTCCATCCCAGGGCACCAGAGGCTGTGTGTGACCAGCCTGCTTGTCTGCCGCGGCTTGCTGATGGTGGGCACCAGCCTGGGTGTGGTGGTGGCCCTGCCCGTCCCTCGGCTACAGGGGGTCCCCAAGGTGACAGGTGAGTGGCTCTGCAGTGTGCCTTCCCCTGGAGCAGTTTATGTTTAAAGTATTTGGGGTTCTTTTTGACAGTATTACAAACACTTAACAGAGAATGCCTATTAAATTTGAACTGTCAATTCATCCTTGTTTTCTGTTTCTTATATGGGTGGTCTCAGGAGAGTCTCCTTTTGAGAACATACTTCCTGTCACTTTCACTGCTGTCTGTTAGTCTCCATCGGTGGAGAGGGCCTTTTCCTTAGCTGCTAAGGCAAGGCTCCGCTGTGCCCTCCCGGCCAGGGGCACACTGCTGGTCCTGGCGTAGCTATGTACTTGCGTCAAGAATGAGAGTCCCTCGTTCACTCAGAGAGGGAGAGCTCTCTCAGGAAGCAGACCAATTTAGCAGCAGGCATGGTACAGAAGGAAGCTCACCCAGCCATAGTGCTTTACAGCATGAGACTAGAAACAACCTGAGTGTTCAAAGTTAGAGATCAGAAGGGGTTTTAGAAAATAGTGGCTCATGCCGATAATCCTAGCTACTCAGGAGGCTGAGGATCGAAGTTTGAAGCCAACCCAAGTAGGAAAATCCCTAAGACTCATATCTCCAATTTACCACCAAGGCCGGAAGTGGAGCTGTGGCAAGTGGTAGAGCTATAGACTTGAGCAAAAAATCTCAAGGACAGCATCCAGGCCTTCAGTTCAAACCCCAGGACTAGCCCACATGTGCACATACACTTTGTCTTTAGTAGGGAGAAGCAAACAGTTAACCAATTCGTGGAGAGCTTTCAAAGACACTCTCTGTGGCCTTAAATCCCATTGGTTCTCTGTCATCTGGGAGAACACTAAGAGAAAGGGATCTGTTGGAATCTGGACGACGTGTGGGTGGGCAAGTCTCCACTGCTCCCTAAAAGAACAATCCAGAGCCCTACTTTGCCTCAGCTACTGGAAAATGACTATTTTATAACTCCTGAAGCATGGTAATGGCTACTAGAACTGACTTCTGCCAAGGAGTACATGATTGATTACATGATCGCTTTCAGGTTTTATTGCCGTGGTTTGTTGTTCTGATACCGAAGGGTTGAGTTCAGGTCTAGTCAGGCACCCTACCACTCAAGTCACACTCCCAAACCTTTTTGCTTTGTTTGTCTGGGCAGCCGGAGACTGAAGTCTTACCTCTGCTGTTTTTACCTGGGGCTACAGAGACCGCTGTGCCCAATTTGTGGTTGAGGTGGGGGTGGGAAGAGGGGAGGCTTGACAACTTTTTTCCCCAGGGTTGGCCTCAAACCTCAACCTTCACAGTCTCTGCCAACTGAGTACCAGGATTATAGATCAGACTACCGTGCTTGCCTGTGTATAATCCTTTATAGGCTTTCTTCAAGTCAGCTGTGTTCTCACAGGAATGTTGCACAGTGGTGACCCAGGTCCTAACTGTGCTGACATGGCCTCTGCCCAGTTGGGCTGATGCTAGGTTAGGTCCTGTGCTTTCTTCCCTTTCCCCACAGTATTGTCTGTTCTAAAAGACATTTATTGGTCCTCTCCTTAGGAAGAGGCATGGTCTCCTACCATGCGCATCACGGTCCTGTCAAGTTCATCGTCATGGCCACGGCTTCACCCCAGAGGGACAAAGATAGAGCCAGGGATGGCCCAGCCCCAGGCCTGGAGGCTCAGGATGGAGACCAGAATGCTCTTCCAGATGAGGGGCCCACGTCCTGCCCTAGCCAGAGTGGCCTCAACACAGCCACAGCTGTTTGGTTGGGAGAGTCCCCAGGGTTGGTGACTCAGAAGAGTGACCTGTCTTCCTCCTCTGGGTCCCTGAGCCTGTCCCATGGCTCCAGTTCGCTAGAGCATAGGTCGGAGGACAGCAGTGCCTGTGACCTTCTGAAGGATGCTGCCACCTCTCTCAGGAGTGGAGTGCAGTGGTCTAAGAGGGCCAAGGCCAGCTCGGCCCTGGTGGTGTGCGGGGGTCAGGGCCACCGCCGTGTGCACAGGAAGTCCCGGCAGCCCCAGGAGGAGCTGGTGTCCTCAGTGATGGTGTGGCAGATCCCACTGCTGAGTGCATAGGGGAAGTAGAGGAATAGCTGCCCCCCCCCACCTGCTGGCATCCCAGTGCGATGTGAGGGGACCCTGGCTCTCAGCGGAACACAGGCCCAAGCTGCCGAGCTCACAGCACCCAGGACCGCCGCAAACAGTGCTTGGAGAAGAAATCAATGTGCAATATGTGAGGGCAGCTCTCCTGCCTACCCGCCCCATACTTCCACACAGAACTCACCCAGGGATGCGGAGGGGTGGCGAGGGAGAGCAGAGTGGGGCCACTCGCTCACAGGAATGCAGATGGCCCAGCGTCAGCTCCAAGCCTAGTGTTGGGGGAAACGTAACTATTCACTAGTGTAGGGATTTACTAACAATACTCGTAACAGTTTCACTTGACTCGAATTTACTACTTTTATTTATATTTTATATTTTTAAATTCCAAAACAAAATGTGTAACAATGTAAGAAGGCTGGTAGCCCAGGCAGTCCAGTTAGGAATTTGCACTTGGGCTACTGCGTGTGCTCTAGATTATAACCAAGACATGTTTTATATTTAAAAATTAACAGTCATGCTTTAGCTATGATAATATCTAATGTTTCACAAATAATCTTTGCTTTGAACCAAATAGTTAACATTGAGAGTCAAGTATCAATGCCAAATGTGCTTGCCTTCTTGTGTTAAGTAGCATTCATGTCCATATTGCAGGAAATGTGCCCAAAGTCTCAGCCGTTCTCCACACCCTTCCCTCTCCTGATGGCCTGGAGTGCTGTGGTTGGAGCATTTGTTCCAAGTGTCCTGAGGTGCTGTCCAGTGGCTGTGCTGCTGCCCATGGGCCGGCCCAGCTTGCCACTCTGCCCCTCCGTGCCTCTCTTCATCCCTTCCCTCCATTCCTCAATGGAGGGCACCAGATGTGTTTTGCACTCAGGTCCAGATGCCTGAGAAGCTGTGAGGCTCCGTGTGCTTTAAGTTGCATCAACTTCTACTGGATGGTTGGATGGATAACAAGAAGGAAAAAAGGCCTCACACAAGCATTTACCAGAAACAAACTTCTCAGCACTTTACAGATAAACGAAAATGTTAATTTTATGACTTAGCCAACTAGTTTCCAAATTACATATATTCTCTCAAGTGTTCTTAAACTGTTAGCTGCTATCTTGTTTCATGAAGTAAAACCTTTTTCTCTAACAACACAGTATTACCAATTGCTCTTTTCTGTCCATAAAGCACAAGGGCACCCCTGCACAGGGGACAGCTGGCCTGTGGGCTCCCCTTGGTGCCACTGTGGCCCGTTGGGGAGGGGCTCCGGGAAGGGCCCTTCAGGGACCGTGCCATTCCAGTTTTCCACGACACTGCACAGGTAAGGGAAGCAGACATGTCTGCAGACTTTGTGCAGGCCCTGTGAGGTCCTGGGGATGGGACAAGGACACCAGCCCTTGGGGCCATGCTTGTCCACCCCCCATTTCCTGGAGCCACTGGTGCTTCCCAGCCAAGTGAGTGACCACTGTCCAGTGAGAGCGCAGGGCGTGGGGAGTGTGACTCACCCCAGCCTGCTTAGGCTCTCGGGTGACACAGTGAGGTGAGGCAACTGACCAGCAGTGTGGCTGCCCCGTAACTGTGCCCATCCTGCCCTGGGGTGTGGCGGGCTTGGATACCTGCTGCTCACACAGGCCAGGGCCTGCAGCCCTGGCCCATCCCTTCTCATTTCCTGCTAGAAGCTTCTCTCACCTGGGCAACTTCCCAGAGCCAAGTCTCCCAGGGGACAGAGAGCAGTGCCACCAAGCAGTGTCTGCTGACGTTGGCTCTGGGAAGTTCTTGCTGGCTGTGTCAGAAACCCCTGTCTAGCTCTCCCAGCATCTCCCCTCTGTATTCACACTCCATACACACAGACCACACACTAATACCTGCTGCTCTCCTGCCAGGGCTGTTTGAGGTGTTTATAGGCATGGAAACAGAGGAGACAGCTGCCGGCCACTGTAGGTGTGGGCCTCTGGGCTCCCTTTGTCTCAGAGAAGGAATTACCTTTGACAAGCAGGGTTTGAACACACATTTCTGGAGATGTGAGCATTTTCTCATCTGCACACCAGGGTGGATGTGTGTCCCCCTGTACAATGGAGGCAGACGTCCCCTGAATACCAGGTGGACAGGCGCCCGCCCCACAGCAATGCTATGGAAGGGCTTGACAGGCGCTGCTCCTGGGACACTCGCTTCTGCACCTTGTGTGGCTCTCATGGGCTCCAAGCAAAGGACTAGGTTATTGGGTGTCCTCTGCAGCTGGGGACAGGCTCAGTGTCCTTGGGAACCTTGCCACAGTGACCATCCAGGAGCGTAGAGGCCATCTCTGGCCAGAGGCAGGGCTCTTGAGATCACCTGCAGAGGGAGTGAGGGCCATCCCCTCCCCCAGTTACCTGGGCCGCATGAGAGCAGGAAGCAAGACCGAGAGTGATGTAGAGGGCACCGGGCTTAGCACCAGACCACCTGCTCTGTCTGGCATCTGGCCAGGGCACAAAGCAAAACCCAGACAATACCCACTGAATCTGGTGTCAAGAGATGGAGGCCCTTTTAACTCCCTACCATGTCCACAAGGGCCATGGGAGCCCTGGCCAGCAGGCTGGAAGGAGGTCATTTAACCTGGATTGTCCCTTTATAAAATCGGGGGTTCTGAAGGTTCTGGTTCAGATCAGAATCACCACTGGGGTGTCTGCATGGTGGGATGGGGCCTGTGCCTCTCGCAGAGGTCAAGAAGCTGGCTGTTCACAGGGTTCTAGAATTCTGTCTGGCACCACTGGAAAGCCAGAACAGGAAGGTGGGGGGGGGGGCTGAGGGGCTGGAGACTGCTGCAGTCACTGCTGGTTTATAGTCATACCTGGGAAGACGTGGGGAACACCAAGAGCATACAGGCAGGTGGCACATGTTCAGAAATGGGGCACTGTGACTTACAGCTGTAATCCTAACTACTCAGGAGATTTCAAGATCATGCCTCAAAGCCAGCCTGGGAAGGAAAAGTCCTTGAGACTCTGATCAGCAAATAGCCAGAAATGGAGCAGTGGCTCAAGTAGTAGAACACCAGCTTGGAATAAAAATGAAGGCAGGGCTGGGAAGGTGGCTCAGTGGTAGAGCGCTTGCCATGCATGCATGAGGCCCTGGGTTCGATTCCTCAGCACCACATAAGAAAAAAGAAAAAAGCTGGAAGTGGTGCTGTGGCTCAAGTGGTAGAGCACTAGCCTTGAACTGAAGAGCCGAGGGACAGCGCCCAGGCCCAGAGTTCAGGCCCCAGGACCGGATCCCCCCCTCAAAAAAAAAAGGCAAAGTTTCCAGGTCCTGAGTTCAAGCCCCAGTGCTGGCAATTTAAAAAATATGACTCAGTGGTAGAGTGCTGGCCTAACATGCATGAAGTCCTGGTTCGATTCCTCAGTACCCACACACAGAAAAAGCAGGAAGTGGCGTTGTGGCTCTAGTGAAGTGCTAGCCTTGAGCAAATAGAAACTCAGGGACAGTGCCCAGGCCCTGATTTCAAGCCCAGGACTGGCAGGGGCAAAAGGAAAGTTAATTTTACATTTTTCTCTTTAGGTAAATAGTGGAGGGTTAACTTTTTTTCTACTTAAGGGAGAAAAAGTATTGCTTTTCAAAAATACCATATTAATATATGGCATTTCTGTTCTTTGCCTAGGTGAGTGGGCCTCAACAACCCCACCCCGGGAGACAGAGGCTGGAGCTGTTTCTGGGGGTCACTGCTTGTAGGGGGAGAATGGGTGCAGGGAGAGGCCTGGGGGGGGTCACTCAGACACCCGCCAGTGTGGTCTCCGCTCAGGGGACATGCGGGCTCCTCTTAGCACTTGTGTTCGATGTGGAGTTTTTGAAACTTGTTTAGGTCTGAGATAGAATTTTCATGGAGATGGGCAGCTTCTGAAGCACTCATCAGCTCAGCCTGTGTTCCCTGTTTATCCTCAGCAGGCTCAGCGAGGTTGGAGGCAGGCCTGCCAGGAAAGAGCTGCTGGTGCTGGGGCGTGTCTCTGTAGACCTTATTGTAAGCACATTGGACATGTGTGCATCCAGATTTACACACGGGCAGACTGCCTCCTTCATATGGTTTCCCACTGGAACTTCACTGGTGAGTTCCTCAAAGGATTGTATTTCTCTAGATCAGGCATCTCGGTCCTCGGTTTTTACCACCTAGTGCAGACTGGGACAAGTATAGGGAGAGTTGTGAAGGTTGGAAACTCAAGATTGGGCCACCACACCTGCTCAGAGACCACAGGTCCTGGACAGCACAAGGCATCACTGGGAAGCCACCATGTCCTCTTGGGGACTGTAGGTCCTGGACAGTTCAGAGAGGAACAGAGTATTTGCTGAGGTCCCTGCTTTTTTTTTTCTTTTTGTACTGGTTCTTGCATGGCTTTTTCACTTCTGATTGGGAGACTACCACTTGAGCTTCACCTCTACTTCCAGCCTTTTTTTTTTTGCTGGTTACTTGGAGATAAAAGTCTCTCAGATGTATTTGTTCGGGCAGGCACAGCAGTGTGAGTCTCAGATCTCTGTCTTCTGCATAGCTAGGATTGTAGGTGTGGGCCACAGGTGCCACGAGATGGCCCTCCTGTGGCTCCATTTCAACTCCACCCACAGATCCTGCCTTAAAACACTGCAGTACCGCACAACTTCAGCTGAAGTTTGAATTGGGGGTCTTCACGCTGTAGCACAAGGGTCCTTAGACAGACTGTGGGACCAGGGGTCCTGGGTCGCTTGCCAGCCACACATTCCTATAGGCATGCTTTGATGACCCCGTGTGCCACCACACTTTCCTCCGGAGAAGGCACCAGGAAACTATCCCAGCTGTCTTCCCCACCCAGGGAATAATTTGTTGTTTCAGAAACACGAAGAAGAGTTCTAGGAGAAGAGGTGGACCAAAAGAAGCCCTCAGGAGACAGTGAAGCAGAGGCGGCCAGTGCTGAACGGGAGAGGTGCCCTAGAGTGGGGCTGGGCCCAGAGAGGGCCTGCTGCCCAGCAGGGAGCCCTAGTGGCCACACTGGCAGGTGCCAGAGCAGGAGCGGACTTCCCACAGCTGCTGGGAGGGTGTGCGTGCTGGAAAAGGGCTGCACAGGCTGCTCGAAGCTGGCCAGGATGGGAGCCATGCTCTGTGAGCCCCACACTCCTTAAGCCAGGGTAGGGGGACAGGTTGGCGTGCTGGCCACACCTCCTCCCCAGTGCCTCCTCCTCACCACAGGGTCCTCCTGCTGGGACACAGCCTCTAGAAAGAGTGGGGGGAGGGAGGAGGGCTCCCTCCCTGGACGGCCAGTGCTGACCCACTTCCCAGGACACGGGAGCAACCCAATCCCCAGAGAATACAAAGGCTAACCAGGGCGGCAGCTCTGTGAGCTCAAAGCCACATCCTTGAAGGTAGGTTTTCAGGAGAGGCCAGCCAAGGGTGACTTTTCAAAAGCCCTACAGACACTTGCACTTTTTATCTCAGCAGTAGGAAAGAGGCCCACTGTTCAGAAGACAAGGTGTGTTTGCCAAGTGCTGGGGTTTCTGCTTACAATTATGGAAGGAGCCTAGAACCACTTCAAACAGTGCCTGCAACTAGTTCTTCACGAGTGCAGCAAGACCACTGTGGGAAGTCTGGGTGCAGGGGAGTTCCAGCTTCCTGCCACACCCAAAGTGTGGAAGCAGTGGGGAGGAAGGGAGGTGGGGAGGGGCCCCTTCCCCCATGTTTGTGTTTCCTGAGGTCCCCACCCACACCTACAAGTTGCTGTCCTGAAACCCAAACAGGAGCCATGCTCAGAGTTGTGTGCCAAGCTGACAGTGACCTGCCTGACCTTGCCCTCAACGGCTTTGCACTTCCTGTGTGTGGTTTTAGTGGTGCCAGAGGGTACTAACCCTGCCACTGAGCAACATCTCCGGCTCTTGAGAATCGGTGTGTAATGGATTGAGTTAAACATTTTTGCTAGTCAGGTGCTGGTGGACTCATCCTAGCTACTCAGGAGGCTGAGATCCAAGGATCAAGGTTCAAAGCTAGCCTGGGCAGAAAAGTCCCCATGAGACTCTTATTTACAATTAACCATTCAAAAACTGGAAGTGGAGCAGTGGCTCAGAGTGGTAGAGTACTAGCCTTGGGCAAAAATGTAGGTCCCACAACCAGTGACAAAAAGTTAAGCTGTTACCAGGCCAGACAAACTTGAA